TGCTCATGAAAATAACAGATGTATTTATCGTCGCCTTGAGGATGACACTGTCGTTAGTTCATAATCATTGATGTTGGTGAAAACTGTGGACATTTAATAATAGGGTATCTTTTATTTCACGTTTCCCGTCACATTTTTCCCGTAGCTGAATTCTTCATGTGTCCTGAAGAGTAAGCTGACTGCTGAAAGGCTAAAGACATTCCCTGCCCTTAACGTACGTGTAGTCATTGCTGCTTTTCCTTAGCATGAGTGAAAGCTGATATTTATGACGCACGTTTGCTTTGTAGTTTGTTATATACCCACGGAGTACTTTCCATGCAAAATGGAAAAGGAAACATTTGAACTGATACAGTTATGCCGTTTTCTGTGATTTGTCACGTTTTTTTATTTTCAGGCCGGCCCTAGCATCTTAGAAACCTTGTGCAAATTTCTCAGCCGTCTCCTTCAAACAAAGCCTGTTGATATATGCAGCTTATTGATGCTCTGCTCCTCCTGCAACCGAGCATTTTTAAAGGTAAGTAACTTTATAACTTTGTTTTAATATATAACATAATATAATAGAAATTGCATGCAGCATTTAGGTTTGTTACTTGTTGCTTTCGGTGTATATTTTTAGTCGAATATTTTTGTGATATATGGTTGAAACGCCAAAATGAGTAAGGATGGTAGAAAATTCTCTCTTGGGCGTTCAGGTCACTTATCAAGAAATTATTCTATTGATCAAATTTAAGTGAAATATTCTGTAAAGAATATCTCATGTATGAATTTTGTTTCTTAGGAGCGCGATCGCCATGCCGTTACAAGATGCTGCCTTAACGAGTTGACTCAAGCTCTGAAGTTCAAGCATAATTTGCACGAGTCGAATTACATTACCATAATCAAGTTGATTCTTCACGATTATGGTGAAGCTGTGGGTGCTGGTATCGATGACAAAGTTATGGTGAGCATCATCTATTTGAAAGCTGCAATTTATACAGCCATTGACAGCCTATGCATCAGCAATAGATGAAAATATGGAGTTTTGCCTTTTTACTTTAGCATAAAATTCCGTAATATTTCACGTCACCACGAACCATTGACAGTTTGAAATAAAAGTTGAGCTGAATACTTCACCGCGGAGTCTCAAAGATTTGCGAAATAATATCATTTAGAGACAGCGTTTTAGATGCAGGTATGGTGGAAAGTACTTTTTCAGTTTCCTGTGATTACCTAAGAGAGTTGCTTATTTATTAGAGTATCTGGATAGGTGTTTATTTAATGCTTGTTTGTTGCCCGGTTGTGTGACTGAACAAAATGAACTGGCAAGTGTATGACTTACGAAGTACTGCTATATCATCGTACGATGATATAGTAGTGTATCAGTGTGTACGCGGTTTATGCGCTTATTGCTTTATGGAATGCTAATCTAAGTTAACCAGCACTCAACAATAGTGGAAGTTGTCACTAAACTCAAGCCTGACAGAAGGGTTGAAGTGCACTGCAGCAATATTCTCAAAGTACTGCTTTTTCTAATTATGATACGGTTCTGAAAATTATATCATACCGCAGAATTGCTTGTAAATATCTTTAAAAACCGTTGGTCGAAGGATTGGGACCCACCTTTCTTACTTGTCCCTGAAGATAGCATGCTGGAATCGTTTCATTGGTCGTCTACCCACTGAAAAAGAGCAGGCAGCAAATGGTTTGGTTGCTCTATTGATTATCTTGGATAGTCAAAGCCTGAGAAATCCTTCATAGTTATACTAACGTTGCCCAAATTAGTTCGTTTTAGATGGTTTTAATGTAATTTGTAGAAGTTTCGACAAGGTAAATAAACTGGAACTTCAATTGTCATATGCAAACAATTTGATCGACAACGAAATGTGTCAATGAGGCAGTTAATTAGACCTATTACCAAAACCTTTAAATGTCAAACCGATTACCGTTGCATATCTTGTTTAAGTTGATTGAAGAAGAAGAAGACACTGAGTTGACATGCGTTTCAAAAATCATTCGATGCGAGGTATTCAGGAGCATGTGAGATACAAACGTTTTGCAGCTTTACCAAACCTGTCAAGTACAAACCAGTAGAGTTATGTGAAAGGTAGCTGCCTGAAGCTCTTTGTAATTCAACTTTGTGGCATTAAGTGGCAGAGGTGAAGAAGACATGTGCTCGGGATTCCATGATGTGGAAGTGCGTTCTTTTTAACCGCTCTTGTATATGTTTAAATCTGTAGTTTTTCAAAAATTGGTTGGCAGACGTACTAAATGAGATTTCCACCCTGTTTAAGAACTGGTTCTATTTTAATGTGGCGTTGCATTATCTCCTTGGAGTTTTGCTATTAAAACAAAACGATATTTAAGACTTAGCGCACGAATTCTTGAAATAATGGAAGAATTGAATGTTTCTTTTGATGGTAACAAATGTTATCGACAGTTGAAAGACCTTTGCTCTGAACCTTATCCTCTCAGAAAACATATAATTTCCGGGAAAATCTTCTCCCCTCATTTTCGCTCGTAAATTTGAACCAGGTGGTCCATAATCATAATAATGCATTGAGATAAAGTCGAAGTTGTTTCAGTTTACCATCAGCTTTTCCATCTTTATCCATATTTTTCTCTCCTCTGACTATTTCATTCTTTAGTACGTAACGAACGCGTCTGAATGTGTCAGTGTGTACCTGCAAGATTTCATCGACTTCGTTCAGGATTCGCATGTTCTGCATCGAATGAAGGTAACGTTCATAACGTATGCAATTATCGCAAGTTATAGAATTTCTTTCTAACGGTTTTTGGTTTATAGATGATGGCCAGAGAAAGCAGCGCTCTGAGTGAAGACACCCTTGGCGGAGAATTGAAAGCAGGGTTGTCAAAGTACATAGCTTACGAAATTTACCGTGCTACATCCAGAGATGCACGCTCCATGTATCGTTATTTGCCGTGGCTTCTATCGCCACCGCCGATAACTCAACTCGGGTGAGTCATCAGCATATTGACATACAAATTCCACCATTTTATTACTTAAATGATTAGGTAATAATATAATTATTTTTATTACTGTGATAATTGATACTTGAATGATTATCATAATAGTGATTCTTGATCATGTGATGATTACCATTATAACTGTCATTACGATGATCATTATGCGGACAGTGTTGACGTCCATGGTAATTTGAGACGATTAATTGGCTTGACTATAATGACTGTGATTACGATCGTTGTGATATTCTGACGATCAGTTTTGCTGCCA